CTGTACTGTACTGTACTGTACTGTACTGTACTGTACTGTACTGTACTGTACTTTACAATCTTGTTTATTTTACTAATGCGATACAATTTGTACAACACACGGATACTACTTTTTACGTTTCTTTGATAGTGAAAAATAATTTTGACTTGCCTTAGATTATACATCAACATTAAGTCCACAGCCCTGGAGAAGCATTTTTTTTTCGTTACTTTATAATGGGACTGGGCACGGGTGAGCTGGGGCGGGGTCGGGGGGCTAGTACGCACGAAAACAGGTGTAAAGAAAGTCTGGGCCATTTCTTAGGAGGCTCTCCAAGTTTCTGTAGCATTCAGCGTCCAGGAGTATTTCTGGTCCTATCTGGATGGGATGTTAGTCCATCGCAGGGCCGCCCCTTCAGTATAAAATCCACACGTACCCGTTTAAGCACGCAACCGGAACGATGATCCTGCTGGTACACGTTAGATCAATAGTGATCTAATCGGCTTCACATATAAAATGAAGAATATAAAAGCAGAAACCGACACAACATAGGATGATTTTTTTAAAGTGTACTATATTTCGGCTGGCCGAAACATAGCCTTCTATTTTAAGAGAGCGAGATAACCCCGGGAGATAACCATTCCTGCAAGACGTCACACGTATCTCGAATGTTGACAACGTTTTGTCAACGCTCCTAACATAGGCCAATCATATTTTTCGTTGTGAGAGCAACGCATAATTCCTGTAATTCAAACTCTCTGGTTTAGGTTAGACTACGAGTAGTCCAACTTTCGCTTAGTCCGTCGTGCGTGACGTGAAAGAAAACCGCGAGATAAAAATAGCCATGCGACCATTTTTTTCTCGCGGTTTTCTTTTGCGTCACGCACGACGGACTAAGCGAAAGAGGGACTACTCGTAGTCTAGCTTAGGTGGTAAAGTAGTCCCTCCTTTCGTGCGCGTCTCGCCCCAAGATTTCACGCAGCCATTTTATGTTAGCGGTTTATTTACGGTCTCGCTCGACGAGCTAAGCGACAGATGGACTACTCGTAGTCTATGAATCTGCTCAATCAATTTTTAAATTGTTAAAAATTATGTCAGCCTCACATGACTGCCGTGTTTCAGAGGGTGATAAAGAAACCACTGCAGCCGAACTTGAGAGTTTGTGCTTTTCTTCACAGGTAGACTATTGCAAAAAACCGCACCACTACAACAGAAGATACGGAACAATGAAACAGCTAGGGTTTTTATATTTTGATTTGCCACACAAACAAGAAAACAGAATTACAGTATAATGATTAATTAATTACGATGATATCCTTAAGGTGGCTCAGAACAGTTTCCAGCACCTATATTTTGATGGGTCGTTATAACCACTCTTTATCACTTGATGCTACAATCATGGTATTAAAAAACTGCCCAATCATTGGTGAACACGTTGTTGTCATTTTCGTGACACCGTAGGTTACCATAGCAACAGTATGCCCTGCTAAAAACACCCTTAATTACAGCTTTAGGGGCTTATAATTTAAAAACGTCAAGGTAAATTTTTTATGTATTTTTTATGTATTTTTGATAAGAATGATAAGACGCAATTTTTGGCAAAGTTTAAACAACTCTGTACACAGGGTTCAGAGCCACCTCAAATTTTCAAAACTTTAAGATTGTTCTGAACCCTACGTAAAGAAGTTTTTTTAAACTAGGCTTCGATTTGGGCTGTATTGTTTTTCAACGAGGTTATTTTTGTAAGCCTCATTTGCATAGAGGTGATGCCGTGTATGATAATCTCAAGTTGTTGTTGCTGTAAAATATATCTCATACTTCGTCAACATCAAGCTCAAAAACAGGACCATGTCCACCAAGGACAACTGAACGGAGGTCAATACCACTCGATACAGGAAGACAGTGTCCAGTGCATTATGGGTGCAAACAGCATCTCTGGTTTCTTATGTTCCATTTGGTTTAGCAGTTGAAGTTATTGTTATTATTAGTGCAGGGACGGATCCAGGATTTTTCTTAGGAGGGCCGGGGTGCACCACTAAGGAATGGCGTAACTGACTGGCGAGGTAAACAAATTTTAAAAGCGAAAACGAAGAAGGAGGCTGCATCTCGCGGGGGGGGGGGGGTGCGAACCCCCTGCACTCTCCCCCTAGATTCGCCCATGTAGTGGACTGGTTACACCACTCTTTACCTCGCTGAGTATGTAACATGTTCTCTCGCCTTGTTAAACTCACCTCTTAACCCATTTCTGTACTGTTGGAAGATGGAGGAAGTGAGACAGGCAGTGAAGGACGCGATCAGAAGATCGTGGTGTTCGAGTTAACCGAGCAAGTCATCTATTTGTCAAGCAAGCAGAATTAGTTGCCGTAACAAAGCGAACTAACCTTAATCAGACCAGGGGGGCGTTTCTCGAAAGTCACGGAAACTTTTCGGGCCCGCAAAGCCAGTCTTAGTTAAAATCACGTAGAATAGAATCGTAAAATCACGAATATCGGTTAATAATTCAGATTCTCTACGGGTCACGCAAAACCTTCAGGTCACGAGTCACGAAGAATAATTTCCTCAATTCACTTTTCACGGAAAATAAAATCAGCTAATCACGCATCACGCGAATACCCCTATACCACACTAGCCGGCCTTTGCGAATAAAACGGCATCCGTAATCATAAGGTTTGAGACTTTGCCACAGCTTTCCGGGTGTGGAAACTTTTCGGGACCTTCGAGAAACGGGCCCCAGGCTTCTTTGGGTCGTGGCCAGACACAGGAAAGACTAATGTTGTGTTCACACTCGGTACCCGAACACTGGTGCCCGGGCACCAGCACGCACCAGCACAAAATAGTGTTGCCTTCAGATACTGGGTACTCCCAGTACCCAAGTAACCAAGCAACGATTTCCGAAGAAACCTGAAGCGGCTCTCCCGAACACTCCTGAATTTGACCTGAACGTTACCACCAAGTCAGTTAATATTTCCGATCTCCCGAAGATTGACGAAGAACACCCGAAGTCTTAATCACACAAGTTTTGCTCTTGATGCTGTAGCATTCTCTCAAAATTAAGGATCAGTATAACATTAGTGCTTTCAGAATTTCCAAATATTGCTCTATAGGCCTCTTGAGTTAAACTATACTAATTTTTGAGTCGCAGGTAAGAAAGTAAGTTGAAAATGTTTTCGGAATACAATTGCAGTCATCGCAACGAGCTTACACTTTGTTTTACAGTAGCGCAGGCCTCGGGCAGATCGCATTGGATGACAGAGACTGGGATCACACGCGGTTATAAAGAGAGCACTCTTCTCCTGATGGCAATTCCAGTGGTGATCTTAGCCATTAGAGACTGAGATGTATAACAGGAGGCATCATGCCGACGTCGAGAAAAGCATAAGGTATCGCTGTAGTTACGTAGGTAATTTACAGTCATCTTGGTTTGATATGGTAGCAAAAGAAGGCCCAACAGGTCTTTGCAAGACCTTTATACATTCTATAAACTTTGTGACGGCCACAAATGTTACAGAACACAAGAAATTTAGTCTAATAAGCTACGAAGTGCATGAAGACGTGCGCTTTTCTCGATCTTTTACATAGCTAATGAGTTGGTGGCAATGTGTCGACAGTGTCGTCTCTATACCAATCCAAGATGGCGTCCGGTATCAAACCGCTGGAAGGTGGATAATTTTATGTCACTTTGCTTCGTTGAAATGCTTTCCTGAGTCAGTTATATCACACCTAGCCTTCTTTTGATTTCGATATATTTTTCCATATTACGGGTAGACTTACGTGGTAATTAACTAAAAAAGACTAGAATTCAAAAGCGAAAGAATTCACAAGCAAAAAAAATTCATAGACGGTACGTTGTCTAGATTCATGCCGAGCTACGCGAATTTGCTGTTTTAAAATCGTATGTAAGGTCGACTTTCTTGAATTTTCGGCTAGAATATAAATGTGCAAGAATCTGTTTCCCTTTACTGGGTTCCTGAGAGGTTATTAGAAGACGGTATCGAGAAATTAAATCAAGTAAAACGATATATGTTTGTGCTTTTGGTCAAGCAAACAGGAAGGTGAACGGCGTCGACAAAACCAGGAACGGATGGAACCGGACCGGACCGGACCGGATCACGGATCGGATCACGGATCGGATCACAAAAAAAAGAAAAAAAAAACCTTTTAAAGAAAAAAGAAAACAAAAAAAATTAAATCGTCTATAAGATAATAATAAATAAAAAATAAAAGTGAAAAACTAAAATATGTTAAATAAAAATAAGAATCCCGAATTTGACGCAATGACATGTTAATTACAGAGAATGACAAGAGGTCATTTAAAAAGCCACATA